TAAATAATAGTATTTAAATAAACTATACTGACTAATGTGGACAAATTTGCAATGTACAGAATAAACAATAAGCTCTTAGGGGAGAAATCTGGTGCATTAAACAAAAGACAAGGCTACCGCCAAACCGAGGAAATATCACAACGATGACAATGCTGGCTTCGGAACATGGAATGAGATTCATCTGACCAAGAGCAAATGTTTATACTTCATCTTGGTCACTCTAGAAACATTTTATGAGCAACAGAAAAATACGTACTTTAAGGTGCAATTAACTTAACCACTGCCAGCCTAAAGAACTACTTGTATATGTTGTCTACTACATCAGAGCTAGTCCTGCCTTTCCATAGATGTGTACATTATAAACCTCAAAGTCTGGGCAAGATGACAGACTGCGAGTGATGGAGACTAAAACACTATGAATTTATTCTTTCTGGCTAATTCCTCTCCATTATCAGCACACTGCTTGGAACAGATGATATTCAAGAAAATCACTCAAAGGACAGCTCTTGCTGTCTAATTCTTCACTGCGTATAATGCCGAAAGACTCTGCAGATTCAAGCTTGTATTTCCCATATGCATGACTCCTAACAGATGCGTTGCCTAAGTGCTCACAAAACAGAACAAGAAAAATGTCACCCCACCCCCGAATGTATATGGTTAATATTAAACTTTTTCCTTGGCAATTATAAAAGAATAAGAAAATACAAGTATCACCCATCACAGTATTTTCACGTGTTAGCATGATCACATTTGTGTTGTTTGTCTACATTACATGACCAAAGATGCTCAATCAGACCAGAATCTTCCCTGACAACATGACCACCACTGATCCAAAACCGAGCACGTGTAAGAGTTACATGTGGAGAAAAAGATTAGCCTTACGTGAAGAAAGTGGAGACATCTCCTGACTTCAGTTCAAACTACCTCTTTTGAAAAGCACATAAAAGACCAGACAAAGAGGAGATCACATAGCTAATGACTTTAAAAAAAGAAAAGAACCTCACAGTATTCTAATTTTTCATTTTGAAAGCATGATCAATTCTCAAGGAAAGGGCACGTATTGGGGAAATGAAGGAAAAGGTTGACCAACTTATGTCTACTCTATTATGCTCCACCAGCACCGCACAGCCAGTAGGAAAAAAAGTCATTTTTAATTTTCCTCCTGATACCAGATGGCTTTTCCCTTGAAAAAAAATCTCAGTACTTTACAGTCTTCAAAATTTCAAAGAGTAACTAACAAAAAGAGACTATATTAAATTAGTTGACTGTCAGTGGGGACAATCATGGTCTATTAAGATAAACTTACTTTGTGGATATCTAGATAGATTTTTTCTGTATGTCCATTTTAATGAATTATTTGCACTGCTGAGACTAAAAGACACAAAGAAAAAATGTAATGCTGTCACAGCATAATGGTCTCTCCTGCTAGACAGATATTAAGAGGAAAAAAAGAACTACTGAAAAATGAATGCTGAGATTACATTACGGTGTTTAAATTCAAAGTGGGAGGCAATTAGACTATGAAAATGTTCTCTCCCATTATTTCTATTATTCCAGAGGACGATGAAGTAAATAAGTATGAAGATAGATGGTTGTTGCTGATACAGTGACTGCTATTCAGTATGGTACATTGAAGAGCTATGTACTATTGATCTAAGTTTTATATAGCAACACTTGAATCACAAGCAGGTAGTCTAAAAATCTCAAGTACAGTTTCAGGGTTTGGTGGGTTTGTTGTTGTTTGTTTTTAAACTGAAGAACCTGTGACAAAACTAGTATAAAGCTTCATTTGTTGGTTAATAAGACAATCCATTTATCAGTTTTATATAATTTGCATTGAAAAAACACGTCAAATGTTTTCCAGAACGGCTCTTTATACCTTGTATCCCTGACACTACGGATACTCAATCTGAAGTAGCACCACTCTGCCTAATAGTGATACAGAAGACACTCATTTTAGAGGGGTTGCTTTTGACTCAACCTCTTTTCAGGCCAATATACATGTATACTACTGAAAAAACTACCACTTAACCTTACAACAGCAATTGTCAGTTATGCTCAACTCCAATTCACGAAATTTAAAGATGAAAACTGTTTAGCCTAACATCCAAACACTGACTATTCGGGCCACTTTGCAAATCTCATTTAAGTACCCGAAGAAGAAATTCCCTTGAAAACCTGGCCTTACTTGCAATCAGAACCTCCCTCCTTGAAGTTCTTCAGAAGCTGGCTGGACACGGTCCCAGGCAGTCTGCTCTTGGTGGCCAGGCTTGAGCAGGGGGCTGAACTACATGGCCTTCAGAGAGTTCAGTACTGAATCACTAACGAGTGATTATTTTTGCTACTTCATCTGTGATAACCCTCCAGTTTCTAAACTTTGCCTTATCCAGTTAGCAGAACCAAACACACAGCTTTTCTGGATGTTGGAAGCTTTTCTAGATTACATTGCATTAGTTAATGGAGCGCATGTAGAAATATCACATTGCTCAGTGTTACCAGACACGTCTATGTCCAGAAAATTTAAACTAGGAAACAAAAATATTAAAACACAAAAAACCATTATACCCAATCCTATATTGTTAGTATTTAAAATGTAATCTTAGTAGAAATGAGTTAATTGCAAGTACTGGATATACAATCTTCATTGAGCAACCTCTTTCCACACTTGTGGCACACAATTCTCTGTCACAGTCAACACAACAGAGCTTAGTAAAATGCTCATGTCTAATAGGATGGCATTTATGCACAAATGCACTATACAGTAACTGATTTTCAACTACCACAAATTGATTTTATTTCATTCCTTCCAGGTGTCACTGTGCCACATAGGGTAATTCCTTTGGTATTAATAGTAATGAAGATGCATTGCACCTGACAGCCCTAACAACACGTTTAATAGAACATTTTAATTTTTGAGTAGAAGAAGAATCTGAAGGGAACACTTTTTCATGTTCCACTGTTTCAGAACACAGTTCTATATAAATGAAATTATCCTACTTAAAAGTTATTTCCACTTGGATATTATTTCTATTCAATTTGACAGTTTTATTTTGGGAAGATAACATTCTGACATACTGCAAATTATTCTTTCAAAACAACACAGTTCATCCTTTTGTATCTGCTTTAATCAAATTTGTCTCAATAGACCCTTCTTTCTGCTAAGTAATTCTGGCAATTTGTCATTTTAGGATAAGTTGGAATGATTATCTTCAGGTGTCATTCACAGAGACAAACAATATGAAACATACTATTTCAAACTGCTACTGCAAGACATAGCAGGAGATTTATGCAGGCTTTATTTAGTTTGTTAATAGAAGTTGCTTCTTTTGCAGAACAACAGGAGTTTAGCCATTGATGTGGGTCAGACCTTCCTTACTTTGCTTCTGCGATTTGACTTTGCCCTTAGAAGACTCTCAAAGAACGCTTACCCACCTAACTCAAACGCTGCCACCACCTCCTACACAAAAATTCCGTTTTATTGGAGTATCATCTTCACTCCAACCCTTTCCCATGATTTTTTTTTTTGCATAAGGAAAACACCTACTTATCCGAGAGGCATGTTTAATTGCAAATGCAAAGGACATTTCAGAAACTAGCATATGCTGCAAATTTAAAGCAAATTGAAGTAAATACAAGTTCAAGTCTTTTGTTTAATAGAACAGTAAATGCAGGGCTACTGCAGCTTGACAAATACATTAACACTACAAAAAAAAAAAAAACAACAGAAAACCTAGCTTTTTTTTTTCTTTTACAATTTTAGCTATCTACTGCATGCAGTATTACTGGAGTGCCCTTCATTGTTCCATATTCCTCTTTCAACATTGAAAGTTTTCACAAAACATTTTCCCTTATTTCTAGTACAAGCAAGGAAAGAATCGGCACCTTATAGACTTTTACCTTCTAAACAAGTACCAGTTTTGCAAGGTGCTTTTTTCCCCCCATCTGCTTTGTAACAACACTTCACAAAAAGAAAGCAAGGTATACGGTGAGAAATAATGTTATTCCTACCAACCCTGACCTACCACCTCATTCGAACAGCACAATAATGCAGAGTGAAAAGGGACCTTCAGGAATGTACCAACTTAAAATGTTAAAATGGATAATTTAACATTTTTAACATTGAGTCATTTAGTGACAGAACAAGATTTTAAGACCTACATTAACAAAAACTTTGCTTGCAAGCAAGAGCCATAAAAGAGAGATAAAAAAAGGTGAAATGCTGCAACCAACCAACTCCTGACATTTGAAACCTGTTTCAAACAGCTAATAATCCAATCTGTTCTTCAAAATTTATGCTGACATTTACTTTTGTTCACTACATTTACTTCCTGATTATAAGTCTGGCAACATGTACGTTACATACTAATAGATCTTAGGTTCAGCTCTGAAGTCCTGTGCTGTTTCCAAGCAAGCTCTTTTGAAGCATGTGTCATAGGTATCATCGGATTAGAAAGTTAAACAACTTTTCAGATTAGAAAGTTAAATTATTTAGTTAGAACCATGTGTGTTTGGGAGGGGGCAGTGAGAAATGAAAACACTACCTCTCTTACCCCTTTTCTTTTAACAGTTACTTCACAATTAGTCATCTTTAATTTCCTTTTGGAAGAGTATTTTCCATTTATCGTAGAGAGAATATAATTCAGAGGCGCCCACCACCCAGTTTACAGAACATCGCTCTGGAAGGACTTGTGTTACTTGAGAGAAAACAAGTGATATTAACCAGCGAGTCTTATCATCATATTTTCTTTTTTTATTAACTATAGAAGCAAAGTTGTGTTGACTCTCTTCCAGCCTGGAGCAGGAAGGAACTGCTACACCTGGAGTCAGTGACCACTGAAATCCAGACAAACTGGCTTTTCTCTCAAGGCACAGTTTGCATTGCTACTTACTGAGCTGTGTCCTTTCTGAGTTGCAACTGTTAGTAACTGCTTCACTTCAAAAATAAGATTAAAAAACAGGTACTTTGCTCTAACAACTATTAGTTGCTGTACATAATTTACCTGTACATCGTTGGCGTTCATTCTTGTTCCCTCCTTCCCAACGAAGATGTCATCTATGTCAACCAGAATGTACCTATCCAAGGATAGTCTGAGCTTCTTTCCAGACAGGAAAGAGATGGCATCTATGAAAATCAGTTTGTGCAGCCAAAAATTCAAGTTATTGCCAAAAAGGACTCGTTGAATCCCATCGTGGAGTCCCAGGTCATGAATTACTGTGGCATAAAGAGCACTTTTAGCAGCAGATGGTGAAAGGTTTTCTGGTGTCTTTACTTTTGCAAATATCACTGGTTGGTAAGCTGTATGATTAATCTGGAAAACTGCCCAGTCTTTTCCAAGCAAGGGACCTTTCTCAAGCTTGGAGGACTTAGTCACATGGAGCAATGGGGAATGAGGGTTAATGCAACAGTCCTTAATACCCAGATTGCTGTGGACATGGAAAGGAAAGCCCTTCAACTGGAGGTTCTGCAAGCTGTTCTCATTGCCTTTATGAAATCCAATAATACCTACACTATATTCTATACAGTACTTATCTAGAAGGCCTCTGTTCCAAGAGTCCATATTCACATACTTTAAAATATTTTCATATACTATGAGAGCATATTTGCCCTTATTTTTGTCTATAAGGGCTGGGAGGTCACCTTTACCAGATGCAATCTCAATACGGTACTGAAATCTGCTGGATTCTAAAATGGTTATTATATCTTGGCCTAAGGTTGAATATTGACTTTCCACAAACACCAGCACTACAAGATCTGTTCTCAGGGGATCGATAGGCTTCATGGTCTTCATCTCCATCAGCTTGTATGGCAACAGTTGAAGATCATCACATTCCACTTCTGAAGAGATTTCAGAAAGTTCATTTTCCTGTTTGTAGCCATTATACAAGTAGTATGCAGAAATAACAATGCTCACCATACAAAAAGTGGCCAGCAAAATAACTGTTCTTTGAAAATGTCTGTGAAGTTTCATGATAAAACTCATGTTGTTTACTTGCCTTAGATTGTTCCAAGCATTAAAAATAATCAGATTCTCAACAACTTGTTCCAGTCCTCTTAAATATTTATGTCACCATTGCAGCACACGCATCTATCTTCCACAAAGCTTTACAGAAGATCTAGTCTAGAAGAAAAGAAAATCACAGATTTAATTGAGGCACCACAGTTTGTAAGCTATCATCACATTGAAACTAATGGAGAAAAGACAATCACTGCTAAACCGAGGTTTAGAAATGAACAGTTCAAAAGCTTTGGTAGCTTTCTTCTGATTTTTTGCATTAGTAGCATTGTTTCTTCCTGCTCCCCATTATTAAAAAAAAAAAAAAATGCAGCTGTCACTTTGCTTTTAATAATAGCACAACACCAAACTATCTCTAAAGCAATTGTGTAAGCACAGAAGATGAAGTTTTAAGAATCTCCACTTCAATCTAACAGAAACCACAACCTAACATTTCAAGCACTATACGCCTGAGTCCAAGAGTTGAGCAAAGAAGTCCAGCAAGGCTTTGCTTATCTGGCCCTTCCAGAAATGCCACTGGCTGCCATCTACATTGGAATGTCTCTAAATCTCACAGGCTCCTCACTCCCTAAGGCTGTGAACCCTGTTTTATGCACAGGAGGCACTGAAACACAAGACATAGTGGACAAAGAACTTACCACTTCCCTTAGATTTTTTTTTTACCCAAAGACAAAAAGAACTCCAAATAAACAACTGCTGACAACCCAAACACTGAGGAAGTTTCATAATCTTCCTCCTTCGACACCAAGAAGCTGGGGGAACATTAGTCTACATAATTAAATATATTCTCTCTTACGTCAATTTTGGAAAAATTGGAGAGTCCTTAACCCAATATGCACATTTTAACTGTTCAATATACACCCACTCAGGTATACTATATATTGCATTTGCTGTAGGAGTGTTTTTTTAAACAAAATACAATTTTTCCTTCAGCATTAGAAGCACAAAAATCACATTTTACCAAACAATGTACCTTGTTCTGTATATTGTTGGAAGTGCTATGTATTTCTGCATATTAAAAAAAGCATAGAAAAATTCACCTCTTAAACTTGAGAAGAGAGTAATAAATCCACAGCTAACTTAAGAGGCAGATCACCTAAGGACATATTTATGCTCTACCTTGTACCTACTGAAAGCAGTCATTTTTCAAGCCAACAGTACAATTGCTGTCAAAAGTTTCTAATAGAATAAATGAAAGATGTGACAAGCATAAAATAATTAAGTACTAGAAATTATAAAGGAAGCTTAACAGCAGATTTTGGAAAATATTAAAGATACAGAACACGCGGCTGTAACTTCACCATGCAGCACACAATCTGTAATGGCAATGGAATAAACTGCATGTGTATTTAACATGGTCACTTCGTGAGTACTTAATCCTTACCTGCTCTTAAAAAAAATGTATAAAAAAAGGCAGGGTTCAAAAAGTAGAAAAGCTACAAAGGTACAGTCCATATCAAATATGAACTTTTCTATACAGATTTACAAAGCTAATAAGTGATACCTAGTCATGCTCTATACCACCTTTTATACATTGAAAAGTTTACTTTTTTTGTTATAACTTTTTATTCCCAGAATGGCTGGCATCCTTGAGTGCTGAATCACAGAGCAAATGATGATCAAAGAATAAGGCAGACTTGTGATCCAAAAGACCAAAGTATATATTATATTAGTTACAAATCAATAAGATAAAGGAGTTGGGGATAAAATAACACTAAACAAAACCAAACAACCTGTCACGTACCTGGGCCATTCAACTGCTTCACAATTTAGGATGAGGAGCTCTTGTCAAAAAGGTGGCCTTTCACTCTATGCTATCAGAACAAGTTAAAAACAAATGATATACTTAACAGCACCTTTGTAACTTCCATGACTTTAACTAAAACCCAAAGATTGATGCTCCCAGTGCCAGGTACATAATGAGCACAAAGTAACACAAAGTGAGTAGGAAAATAAGATAAGGGATAAGAGAGAAAGTACATGGCACCCTATCTATCAAAACAGCAAAATTGAGCACAAAGAGTAATTAAGCATATGTAAACTCATTCATAATTCAGACTCCCTTTAAACCTGTGTATCACCAGATAAGCCCACCTCATGGGCATATTCTGCGCTTCTCAACTTCTACGCTACCCTTTCTGCTTTTGGTGGACTTAAACCTGGCCTTGAATCTTACCTGCAGCTGGACAAAGCTTTATACATAGCTTTTGGACAACAGTCTTGCCTTTCACCTAGAGATATAGACACATTATTCACTGTTAACCAAAAACAATGTGATTTGTGCCTGTAGAAACTGGTGGCATGCGTCTGCAAAAAAAGTTTAAGAATGCACGAAGACCAAACTGAAAGATCCAAAAGTACCTTTAGAAGAACTCAAAAGAATATTTTAGTATTGAGCTGTCTAATTTTATTATGCTAACTTCAGGAACATCAATTCAGGTATCTCTTTCTCTGCTATTTAATCTGCTAAAACGTCAGATGACAAAGAAGCAGCTGCATTTTACTTAAATGAGTAAAACTTGATTTTTTAAGACATGTTTCCAGACAGATGATATTTGTTATGAGCACAAAGGATTCTCAAATAAAACCATTTTTTTTTGTTTTTTTAATCTCCAATGCAGTTGACTGAATGCCAAGAAACTCAATGTTAGTGGCTAGAATTAATGCTTCCTGCATTCTGTGAAAAACTCCATATGCCTGCCTATCCACATCCCTGGTTTTCTTAACCCCACAAACAGCTTAGGTCTGGTCAGTATACAAGAGAGAGGTAAGAGCCTGCAAAGTGAAACTCTTGCTGACCAAACCACCATCACTTCCCTGAGTAACAGTTTGGTCACCGAACAACCAGCAGCACAGTGCTTTCTTTCAGTCCCAAGCTCCTCTAACACAGCCCTAAATAAATACTCCTGTTCTTATGACAGAAACCCCTCAAGTCATATCAACAGGAGGCTCCCACCAGCACAATCTTGATGTTCCTTTCCTCACCAGCCTATGCTCCTTACCAGTCACCTGAACTTGACAATCCTGCCTGGAGCAGGTAAAATACACAGTGCCCTTAGCTGATGGCACGAAAGGGCTGACCAGATGGAGCAGCTGTAGACACAATTGCTTCTATGAGGTAATACAAGAAGGAATAATGAGATAATACTCAAGGAAATAACACTCAATGGCTGCTAAAGGAAGAAGCAGGTGCATTTGAAATATTTGCAGCAAGGATGTCCTAATGCACCTCCATGGAGCAGAAAATTTGGAGGCAGCCCAGAGACCTACATTATTTATTTATTTATTACAAGAAAGCCCATGCCATTTTATCCTTGGCTCCTAATTGCAAGTATCTCCTGGGGCTACAGAGAGCAGCAGCAAGCAGGAGTGGATGGGAACGCTAAGACAGATCCAAGGTCTGACTCTGAGGAATGAAGAATTATCTGAGACCAGCAGAACAACAGCCAGACATGGCATCCTCAACACTGAGAACAGGAAGGAAAGAAGGAAGGAGAATGAAACACAATAAGCAAGCTTAGCTTATTAATTTCGTTGGAGCCACACTGATTTACATGAAAGGAGGACATGGTCCCACCTATATCTTGAAAAGGGGCGCCAGGTAATATACAAACCCAGTGGTCCACAAAGGTATCACTGAGAGAAGTTTTTATAAGTAAAAAAATTTGTATATTACTTTTCACAGTCTGAAGCAATAAAAGCTGCCTCAGTGTTCTGTGTCCAGAACCCTGTTATTTTAGAAGAATTTGCATTTGATCTCTTACAGAATTTTGCATTTTTATATGGCCATCCAAAAACTGAGACCAGTACCTTTTATCTATTTTGTTGTTCCAAGTGTAAAGTATTAAAACATCTCTTTAAGGTGAAAACTGGTAATAAAAATTATTTAATATATATTTGAATATTTAGAATTGTGTTTTTTAACTTACAGACTCACTATGCAAAAGATCTTGTTAAGAGTAAGCTGAGTCATGGAAATAAGCTTCCCATTTTATTCTGAATGCAGCACGGCTCAATATCATTCTCTTCTCCTGCAAAAGTGATTTCTAAAGCCCCAGACAAGTTGTCATGAAAATCTTGTGGGTACAGGAAATAAGTATCACCTTATTAATGGGAAGATTTACAACTCTGATACAACACTGACGGACAGTCAGAGTTACAGGCGTTTTCAGACAGCCAGAATGAAACAGATCCACTAGAACAGAGATCGCGAACTTCTCCACCCCTTCTTCTCCAAATTCCCTACCAAGATGATACTGATGAGAGAACAAATACCACAATGAACTCACAGGACTCCGGTGAGTTCCTACCATGTGTAGCTGTCTTTAGTTTGTTATTTAATTGCTAACCACAAATGACCAGATCCTTGGCTTCTACAACTCATTTCAGCACAACAACCGTACTGGAAATACACGAGACAAAACTGGCAGGGGATTTCCCCTGTTAATGAGATGCATTAGTGTTCTCTAGCAAACATAGAGAACATGAAATTGGATTTTTTTTTTTTTTTGTGTTTACTGGCAGTAAAGCTAATATGATATCAAAGCAACTTCTGGGGAAGTCTTTGCAGTTAGGCTGGAACCCAGACCTCGGGCTCAGGCTCTGCACAGCTGCTGAAAATCTACACTGTGTGCATGTCGCGGCACCACCACAAACATTGTGCCCTCACTGCTTCATTTTTGCAGCAAGACTTCCACGGTGTGCACAGCACACGCAACAGCATGGGCTCAATACAACTGGCTTGTCCATGCAGCAGAAACATGCTATTTTTTGGACTCGGTAGCTCAGAAGAAACATTGCTCTGGCCATACAATTTCATAAATTATAGCTATACTTTTGGAAACTAAAGAAAAAAAAGTTTTATCAATTCCACATTCACATCTTCATACTGCAAGGAATACATGCCCAAATAGGAAAACAGGTATCCCCATAAACACACACATAAAACTGCATACAGGTTTTATATTTAGAACAAAATTAACCTGCTGAAGTTGTGTCATGAATATCACTCAGACTTAAAACTATGAAAAACATAAGTGAGTTCAAGAAAAATGTTTAAACTACCAAGATTAAAACAATGGGCTAAACTAAAATAACCAAACAAAAGAGTAATTGATCTCAAATTACATTTTTAATGCCAAATACAAAAATCAGGTTTAGTTTTACCTCAGAATGCGCCCTCAGGTTTAGTTTTACCTCCGAAATGTGCAAAGTCAGCTGTATATCATGACCTCTCAGTAGGAGCAACAAAGTTGCGTCACATATACACAAAAGTAAAAAAAAAAAACAAAAACAAAACAAACAAAACAAAACAAAACCACAACACATTGTTACAGGCTATAGAAAAACCTTTTTATCAAGAATGGCCAAAAAGCGCTGCAAATTCAGGATTCATTAATAAACAATATTATTCAGTTACTACATTAGTCTGGTTAGCTATACCTGCATGTATTTTTAATGTCTCCCATCCTACTAGCCCCCATCACTATCTTCTGTTCCTGCTCCTTCCCAAAGTGGCTGCTACCACAGGGACATCAACAAACTCCTCATCCGTTAAGTGAGGGACAAGATCTCAATCACGAAGAGGCAAAGAAACAGACATCCTCTTCAGCACGTTAACACGGGCACTTAAATTCATAGCGATTAGAATGCTATTTAATTGCTCTGAACAGAAAAGCCTGCTTTGGCCAGCCAGTGTGAAATACAGCCTCAGGGGAAGTATTCTGAAGTCAGAGTTACCACAAGGTAGCCGTTCAGATACAGGAGTGACAGGGGAGAGAGCAGCAAAGCATATCCGAAAATGACCACACCTGGGGTGGGCAGTACTGCTCAGGTTTGCATAAATCACCTATGAAAATGGGAAATTGCTCTCCAAATGCTGCGTGCCTCAACTTACATCACTCCCCTGACTGAAGTATTCAAGCAGTAATAACTCAGATAAGCAAACACAAGCCGAGAATGAGGTCTTTTGACTGGATATTAAGAACACATTTGCTACTCGAGAAGATAGCTCTATGAGACACAGACTGCTGACAGCAGTCATCAATACTCTTTAGTATCACATAACAAGTCCCATATAATACGTGAATATCGAAGGGCTTACATTTTTTCACATATCCTTAAAAAAAAATAAAAGAACAGCTTACGCAGAACAAAAACTCTGTCAGACAGATGCTTTTTCAAGTCCTTGGTGAAAGCAGTTTTCAGTTTCTATTGTACCTGCTATCCTTAGCTCTGTGCTGCACTGCTTCAGCCAGTACCTTACAGGACAGGAATTAATGCTTCAGAATTCATTTTTAAGTTTATTTATAAACATCAAATATAGGGTATTTAAAGTCTTGGAAGTCCGTACTTCAGGACAAAAGTTGGGTTAGAGCTTTAAATTACTTTACCTGTGATACTTTCAGCCAAAAATACTTAAGATACCTTGTACCTCACGCAATATTTCTGCGATTATTCCTATTATTCCTCAGCAACTGAGCAAACCAAGGGCAGGGCCCTGCCAGCCCCGCTCCCCTCGCACCCCAGCCGCAGAAGCTGCAGCGGCAGCAACCGGCGCCCGGGGGCGACGCCGCCGCTATTTTAATAAAGAAAAAGGCAAAAACTCACCCCGCCACGAGCTATCCCCCAAGCAGCTCTCCAGCACAAAGCAGCGGCTCAGCCACCGCCGAGTTTTGTTCCGCCTCCCCGAGCTCCCCTGGGACAGGCCCCCGTTTCGGCACGGCGCCGAGGCGGCACCAGCACCCCGGGGCACCCCGGCGCTCACCTTGCTCCCTCACGCCGCCACCCTACAGACGCTAGAGGGCAACAGCGCCGCGCAGAAGCAGCCAGGGGGAGCCGAAACACCCGCCCGGCTATCCGACAGGCAGCGGGCGGCTTGGCCCAGGGAGCTCACCGGGAGAGAACGGGGGGCGACCGGGCAGCTCCGCTCCGCTCCGCTTTGCGCGACGCAGCCCCGAGCCCCTCAGCGCCGTTACCTCAGGCCGCGCCCCGCCGCCATGCCGCCGCCCCGGAGCCGCCGCGGCCGCCCGCCGCCCTCCTCCCCGCGGCGGGCCGGGAGCTGCCTGCTGCGGGAAGGCGCGGCGGTGCCGGCAGCCCGGGGGTGCGGGAGCCGCCCCTCGGCTCGCCTCGCCCCCTGGAGGAGGGGCCGGGCTTGGGAGGTGCCGCCGCCGCCTCCGAGGGGTCCCGGCCGGCGGCCCCGGGAGCCGAGGTGGTGTGAGAGTGCCGAGCGAGGCGTTTGCAGCCCGGAGCCGCTTCTCCATTTCATTTTGACGCCCCCAACCCCGTCAGGTAGGGGTCGGGGGCTGCCCGCTTCGCACCGGCGGGGTGTCAGCAACCCTGGTGCCGCCGGGGAGCCGCCGGGCCCCGGCCTGAACTGCATTGGCCGGCTGCCAGCCATCGCAGGCGGGAACTGAAATTAATAAATGCCACAAGTGCCCTCCTGATCCGAGTAATTTACCTCGCAACTGCACGGTGCCCGCTAGCTCACCTCATGGCTGCGGATCCGGCGTGCGGCGGTAAGGCGGGCACCGGCGGCTGTCTGCCCGAGCCCTCCTGCTCCTGGCTCGCTCCTAACAGAAAATGAACGGAGGAGAGCCGACGTCCTCTGAAGGATTTTTTCTCCATCCTTTTCCAAACATCGGCAGAATTTACAGTTCTTGATTCAGAAACGTCGTGATTAACTGCTTTCTCCTGTTTCATTTCCCCCTCCCTCCTTTCTATTTCCATAACTGACTGAAGGAACCCCTGCACGTTCTGGTGACTTCTAAGCTTCAAAAGTTTGCAAAGCCAGAGTTCCAATTAAAATTTCAATTCTATTGAAAGCACATAAAAATTTAATGGAGATGATCTAATCCCTTATTGCTCTTGCTTTAAAAAGCAGCATAAGGTCGCAGGCCCCTATGTGCAGAGGAATTGTCAACACGAGGGCTTGCTCTGCATGAGGTTATTAATCTGCAGGACTGTCCATCCCAAATGCTGTTGCCCTCATGATATGCCACACAAAGGGGTTTTCTGCCACACTAAGATTCTCTGCAGCATGGATATCCTGATACAGTCTTGCTTTGGGGCCTCTCTATTATGAGGGCTTTTTCCTATGATGTACTATGAGGTACAAGGTGGAAGGCATCCAGAAGTGACTGAAATTCTTGGATGTGAGTTCAAACTCACAAATGCGCACCATCTCCCTCCCGCCATTCTTTCTGAGTAGCTGGCGCTGTGTTTAAGTAACGACTGGCCAATGTGGACGGAAGAGCGTTACACAGCGCTTGTCCTCATAAGCACCTGGATGCTCACAGAGATGTGCTAGACATCTTACAGCTGAGGGCTTCAGCACTGCGAGTCAGCAGCTGCAGTACTGAGCAGTTTTGGCAGGAATATTAACAGCTTTGATCTTTCTTGGTGCTACTTTCAGTTTTTTGCTCTTGAGCTGTCATTGCAGTGTGAACTGGGCATGACACTTAGCCATTCTTTCAGCAATACATCTTTAATATAATGTTCAGTATGCTCCTGGCCAAAATTTCTTCCTGGCTCCAAGTCCCTCACAAAGCAAGCTGTAGCAATGTGTTGTTGCATTATCACAGAGTGCTACCACAAATAGCATCATCGTGGCTGTGTGTAAGGATCCGAGGTCACATCTGATGTGCGTCACTCAAGAACTAAATGGTGCACACTGGTCAGTGAGCAGTTAATTCAGGCAAGGAGATAGGTGGGAAGAAAATTGGTGGACTACTAACTGCATGCAAAACAAAAGTGTTTTCAGACAACTGCTAGTCTGTGCTGAGTGGCTGCACCATGAACTAAGGCAACATCTGTGCTGCTGTTGTCACACAAGACAGAGACCGAATCCTGTCTCACAGATGTTCATACTCACTTGTGTCCATATATTCAGCATGGAACAGATACTGAAGCAAACTGTCTTCTGTTCCAAACCTGGAAGCATTTGCCAAGAGAAATACTTAGCTCATTTCAGATTGTTGCCGCAAACTAACTGAATTCCAGACAAAGCACTCCAGACACTAGGATCTAGGCTAACAGTACAGATCACCAAATGGCTGCAACCAGCTCAGAAACTGTCTGGTCCAACCCTTGGCACATGCAGGGTCACCACAGCAGGCTTCCTAGGAGGCTTTTGAAGATTTTCAGGGATGAAGACTCCACAGCCTCTCTGCGCAGCCTGTGCCAGCCCACTTCTCTCAGCCTGCTGAGGTCCCTCCACACACATACCACATGCGTTCAAATATGAATTCCCTTACTTCCCATTAATGGGTGCCTTCAGTGTATGTGAACACAGGTCATTTCAGCATGAATTAACTAAACTTGGGGAAAATAAAATGCTTTGTACACACAAGCCTTCAGTCACCTATTGAAATATGTAAATTAAGAACTGAAATGCCTTTCAGTATCTGGCCTTTAATCCTTAGTTAGAATATCTGTCCTGTTTCTGATAAAATGGCCATTTTCAAGCTAATTACTTTGAAAATTATACCTTAATGAATTCCTATCTATATAAATCACATCATGTTCTGACAGCACTGCTGACTACTTATGTCTTACATACACATAGATATGTGTGCACACTTACGCAGACATGGAAGTTGGTAATTCCAATTAAGCTCTTTTTCATTGAACATTATAGTAAAAAAAAAAAAAAAAGTGTTTGAGAACCTCCAGCAACAGTTCCATCTGGGTTTAGCTTGGCTTTTTAGTTATCCCCTATCTGGAACATTTTAAACCTGTTTTCTTGCAGCAAAGAAAGACTTAAAAAAGAGGTGACCTACCTTCCCTGTTGATATCCTCAGCTTTTTGCCTTACTGCTGGCCTCTGCACATGCATGATCTCTTCCACAGTCATATTTTTGTTCAAATTTAAATCTTCCCACAGTGCTTCCTCCTTCCATATAATCAGCAATCTTTCTCAAATGTACTGAGTCCTATCTTGTCTGGTGGTCTTCTCTCTTTCAGGCTCTCACTCTGAGAAATGGTTCTGATCATTGGATGTCTGTTAAGTCTGCAAATGATCTCTTGGTCCTTCAAAGTCCTCCTGAAATCAGTGGAAAATGTAGGTATTTTTGTTATGATTGTCATTACTACAACTCCCTCCACAAATTTCTATTTCCAAGATACACAGATCGATTACTTCGGGCATCATTCCATAAACCAGGTAAAGGTAACTGGTTGTGGAGTTACACATAAAAACAACAGTTTTCATTTAGTAAAGAAATACTTTTTCTAGTCTTGCCATTTCAAAGATTGGGTACATACATTTTTTAGCCAAACACTAATTATTGTTTGTATTATTTTTGTTTACATTTTCTTGCAGGGAGCCATTACAGTGACCTACATATTAGACAACAAAGACAACCTAGGTAATTGCCTGTTATTAGTAATTGTATGGTTGCTTTTTTAAGCTATTATAAATTCTACTAGCCAAAATTTAAAGTTATTCTAGATTCATAATGCTCTCAGATTAATCAGAAACTAGATTTAAAATCCAATAAATACTCAATCTCAACAATACCTAGAGTTCTTTAAACCTCTAAGTAAATGCAAATATTAACTAATGATTCCTAACAGGGTAGTTTTGTCATGAGTGTTGATATCAAAATTGCTGTATGCATACTTGAAATAGAAGATTAGTCCATGAAATTGCCTAAGACCGGGCAGTGGCTCATCAACATGATTGGATTATGATTGGAAGTCAGCAGTTTTTGACTCAGGGCTGAGTTCAGAGCACTACGTTCTATCACACTGTATTATAACTGATGTTGTCTGAGGCCAGAGAATGCTTTTCCATGTCAAAATGCAAAGACCTAATTTCTCCTCTTGGTTAAACTGAAATACTTGTTTACAAGTTGCATCCATATAATGACAAGAAAAATGTGACCTTTTCCACCCTTAATGATTCTATGATAAGCAGGTCAAATGTAATTGACTAAGAGGCTATCTCAGAGGAAAAAAAATTATACAAGACAATAATCATAGAATCATAGAATCATTAAGCTTGGAAAAAGACCTCCAAGATCATCTGGTCCAACTGTTCCCCTACCACCTGTATTTTCCAATGCCCTTCATTTCTGAAGTGATTAAAGATTATTCAGTAGCAAACAACATGGGAAACCAGCCATGCTTATGCAATTTCTCTAAAACATCACAGCTTCGAGATAGAAAATACATCTATCATTTCTCTGCAGTAGTTTCTATTTGATTTTCAAGACCTTGCCCTGAAGAACCTAGTATTTGCATGCATTGTAATAATATCTTTTAAACAGTTGAAGGCAAGCTGCTAATTACACGCTGTTGGTGATGACTGCTTGGCAGTGGAAAAGCATTTCTATCTCTGGGCTTAGAATAAACCATTGTTATAAATATGTTTTGTTCCTTTTTAATCAGGGTACTGAAACAATTGTCTTTTTTGTAGAATGATAAAATAGCAAGCTTTGGAATTCAAGAAGCTGAAGAAATCATTAGGTATTTCTGTTCTGAGATACTGCTCAAGTCACATGCCACATAAAGTGTAAGACAGATTCATTAATGAGGAGCACTAAGTATTTTCTGGTGAAATACTCCAGGAAATTTGCTTATGAAAAGAGAGGAAAGACTTCCTTCCATTATTTCAGATTCATAAGTTTCAAGTTAAAAATATTAAAAAATATCAGCGCAGATTCAAATGTATTAATGTAAGTTAGCTGTTTTGAATATATGTCAATTTGATTGAAAGCTGCTTAGTAGTATCAAAATTGTATAGAAGAAATAGATAATGGGGATGGAAAAGAATTAAAGAGAAACCAAGCTGTTATAAGCACAATCAGCACTCTAAAGTATCTTTGTCCTTTTAAAGCAATATGTAATTAAAGCTTCTGTTAATAATTGATTTTAGGATATGTAATAAAATAAGACATATTCTGGGCTCAGAAGAACTTGCTTTATTACCCTACAAACAACTCCCAACTGTAAAGAAAGAAAAGTCCACAAAAAATCTTTTAATTTGCAAAGCAGAAAAAGAACTAAATTGATACACCCAGCTCTTCAGTCCAGCAATAATCCAAACTCTT